TCAACCCAGTTAGCCACCTGAGAAAGCCAAGCTTCCTCACTGTAGCTGCGAGATGGACCAAAATGAGAACTGCACATCTAAGCTCTTAGATTTATAATCTCTCTATAGTGGCTTTCTCTGGATCCAAAGATAGCAGAGTCTCACAGGTTCAAGGAAATACAGTGGGTAGTTCACAAAACCAGCTGATTCTGAGAATTTTCTACAAAATAGAGGAAATAGCTGGTGGGAATAGCTGACCACATTTCGGAGCTGTCTGATCTGAATGAGAAACCTCACTCCAAATAGCAATCCAAATCTAAAAATCTGTTCAAAGACCTCAGACTGATGGAATTTCATGAAAAATGAAACGCAGGCCATAGAGTGAAAACACTGATGTTTAAGCCCAATTTCTTTCTCTCTAAGAGCCTTAGCACAGAAAAGGCTTTGAATGAAATATTTTGATCAAAAAAATTATTTCTTATGGGGAAGTTTCAAATAAGTGTAAATTATTACTACTTTGGTTTCAAATCAACATCTCAAAATGGACAAAGAGTTTTGTTTTGATCAGCAGTGCAATTTCGAGGGCTGTTCTCAGTTTGACATTTATAAATGTAAACTGGCATTTACACTTGCTCATACAAAGAAAATAATTGCGAATAAGTTGCATTTTTTGACTGGAAACTATCCGCACAAAAACAATGCCCGTAAGTTACATGCTTGAGGAAAGTCTACAAGGAATTCTGCAAGGCAAACGTAGCAGTATTCAATGACAGGTATTAGCAACACATAATTTGGCCAACACACTAGAAAAATCCGAAGCAGCCATACATAGCTGTGTAAAGCATTTCCATGAGTACTTCTCTAGTTTTCTGCTGCCACTGGCGTGAACAGCTAAGAGTGTAATGAGAGCAGGGAGAACATGCAAAGGAGAAGAAAGACAGTGAATTTCAGCACCTACGCATTTTAGAGAAAAGGGTTCGTAAGAAGTGTATGCCAAGGAACAACTCCCATTCCTGATGGATAGTTGCACTACTGTTTCTAGAGAGACAAAAGTGACATATGTCAAAATAAAGTGGGGCCCTGGAATCTCACGGAAACAAAAATTTCCTGGAAATAGACAACTAAAAATTCACAGAAATCCTGATAACATTCCACAAAGGGTTTCATTCAAAACACTTTCCACCGTATGTAGGAGCTCACTTTGCCTGTGAAGCCCACCAGGCACCCCGGAGTATACAAAAGTCGTGGCAACGCTTGCAAACATGGTATGGAAGTACAGAGGAACGCTGCAGGCTACCTGACACAGCAGGAGGTAATTACAGGTATTGGGACCTGACCAAAGCACCACGAGATGAAATAATTCTCATGAAAAAGTACCGCAGGATCTTTAATGCCCACAAGTGGTCAGGAGCCTGGTTTTCCACCTCATCCAGTTTGTCTAGTTTAGCTGTTTGATATGTTCCCCATACCTTAATATCTGATCACCTCACCATCTTTAGTGTATTAATGTGCCTAACACTTCCTTGGGCCAGGAAAATATTTCTTTCACTTTACAGCAGGGAAAACGGAGTGCAGAAGCACCAAGACACACCAGAAGCTTCTAGTGGAGCAAAGAACTGCATCTGGCAGTCTCTCAGCCCACTCATCCTCGGGTATCTTTCCCCACCTCAGAGATGATACCAGCACCCATCGGGCATTAAATCCAAAGGCTCTGAATTCTCACACGAGGTTTGGATAGGGGGAATTTTCCCTTCTCATAGCTCTGCATTTTTGTCCTATTTATATCTTCGTTCTGCAGGCCAGGCTGTGCTGTGGATGAGCCAGCAGAATTAGAAGGGCATATATCTGCAGTAGATTATTCAGTGCCTTCCTGTTGGTCCGCACATGTAGCTGTGTGAATGAGCAAGGACTGCAAAATGTATTTCGCCCGGGGCAGTGAAATAGCCGGGACCAGCCTTGTCATTCTGTTTCACTCACTTTTTTCCTACCCTATCTCTATCTTAGTTTTTCCTTTCCTTTCTTTCTTTGTTGTCTTGGTTACATGGGCATATTCCTGATATGCTGCTTGTCTTCATTTTAATGATATGTTCCTGTAAAGCACAATATTTTTCTTCAGTTGTGTGTGTCGCTGGGTAAATTCCTTTGACACATGTGACATCTGTATATCAACTAACAGATATTGCTTTATGACTGTGGGTATTTTGCAGGGCTTTCGCGGATTGCCTGCATCAAAATCTGATATATTGTCTATATCTTTCATATAAAAATACGCACACAAACAAAAAGGCTTAAACTGCAGGAAAAACAAGGAAAGTTCCTCCAAAACCATCTTCTAATTATCTGCAGCATGTCTTCCAACAACAGCTTAACAGATGCTGCTGTCTTGAAGATAATCTAATAACTTTTCTCTTCATGCTATCCAGAAGTGCTTCATTGGCTCGACCAAGGAGCTGCACTGCACCAGGAAAAACAGCAGTATGTACCATGCATGGTAGGACCCGGTGGGACACAGACAATGACAACCCTTGGCCTTCGTCCACAGGTACATGGAATTTCATGTAATCCTACAAAGCTAATTCCAATATACCCATAGGCAATTTTTTTTTTTTTAGACATAAATCAAACTTCATGCTAACGTGACAGGTTGTGTTAGAGCTGTGATATCAATGCAGTATTTCCCTTGCTCCCTATTCGAAGGAACCCTTTTGATGTACCAAAACCAAAAGCACAGCTTCAAAACACCCACGAAGCCTTGGCAGAGATCGAGGAAAGCCAGGTAAAAAATCCACAGACTTAGGGCAGATATAGCAGCGGGGATGTGCCTTGGCCCCCGGAAGGGAAGGCAGGCTGATGTTATGAGCCCTGATACCACCAGGGAGACTCAGAGGAGGGCAACGGGTGCAGGAGAGGCTGCGATGGAAGAAGTCATAGTAAGGATGGGGCCGAATCTGCAGGAAATGACGGTTTTGGAGAGCTTCGATCAGCTGGTCCAAAGCAACCGTAGGTGCTCATGGGGAGCCCCGCTTTGCACAGACTGAAAGGGAAAGGCTGCCTCTCCGATGGAGGTTTCCCAGCTGAGGAAGCTCTCAGCCGGAGACTCCAGCTCTGCCCTGACACACGTACCCGTTACACTAGCTACCATAGGCAGGACATCCATCACATTAGGAAAAAAGGGAATAAAATGCAGCTTTCTCAAATTACGTCAGGCAGTACAGCTCCCCTCTTCTCATTCTTTACCCTATAAGGACGTCCCTGCTCGCTACCACACGCTGTAAAAACGAAAAGCTTTCTCACTCCTATTTTCCCTATTAAAAGGGATCAGTTCTTGGATCCTGTAATGTGACCTGCAAAGGCAAAAACAGACCCATATCTCAGTTTGCCTCTCCTGAAACCTAAAGAAAAACCAAACACTTGCGAGTGCAGAGGAGCAGCAGTCATTCTGAACTGTTTAGGTCTTCTGGATATTTACCATTCAGATCTCAGCTACCCTATTTTTTCCCCTGAGAGACTGGCTGCAGAAACAGTTTATTATGATATCACAGATGACAGGGAGGCAAAACCTAATTAGTCAGGGGAGGAGATTATTTTTATTACAACTGTTTAAAAGACAGTTTGGCTCCTTTTCCACATGCCTGAACAGACTGTTAAAAACAAAAAAAAAAATTCTCTTTTCACAAGCATCAGCAGCCCTTCCCTGGTTGAACAAAGCCTGACATGTTTGCCAGTGGCCGGGACCACGTTCCCCTTGTAAACCTCCCTCAGGACAGGGGCAATGCGATCTGACTTTGCATCCGCATTTTTTTTTTTCAAGTGAGGAAGAAGCAGGTAGGCAGACAAAACCAGACATTTCAAGCCTTCCTCATGCATCCATGAACAAGTGACTCCGCACTCCCCTTCTGTGCTCTGTCCATCATATATACAAGCCGTACCGGGCTGCCTTTTAACAGCATTTTCTTCTTCCCAGCTCAGAGTTATTTGCAAAAGGAATTCAAAGAGGGATCAACACCCAACCCAGCCCCTACGGATCCATCCAAAGGGCAGCTCTGTGCAACCTCTTCTCTCACCTTCCCTCCTATCTCCGTTATTTTGACAAAGCCACAGTCTCCACGCACGCATAATATTTTTGCAACGTCCCCAAGCCAAGTGTTCAGAAAAACATTGTTAAAATGGCACAGAGGGGTCGCAGTGCCCGTTGTTAGCACGAGAAGGTCCCTTAGAATACCTCTTTTGCCTTAAGAAAAGCACCTGCCAAGACCACAGGTAAATTCCCAGCTTCCGTCTCACAAAACAACCACTACCACCTTACATGACAAACTACAGCAGCTGCTGAACTACAGAGTCACAGCCATGCAACGGACATTATTTTTGTGAGAAGGCAGTAAGGAATATAAGCCACAATACAATAAAGAGTGTATTTATTTATGTGGCATCAACCATGGTTACTCCTTAAATGTAATGCTCATTGTCATTCAAACACAGTTTTCTTCTGATGAAAATGTTTTTCCTTCAGTACGAGCACCCAGCCTGACCTAAAGAGAGCAACCACTAATCCCATGTTGGGTCCATGGTGAAATCAGTCTAGTCACATTGCTCGGAAGAAATATCTCCAGAGCATGAATTCTGTTGCTTAACAAGCTTCAGCATCAGTTCATTCTTCTCCAACATGCACAGATACCCTGTGATCAACTACTTAGAGAAGGTCGGAATAGAAGAAAAAAAAATAAAAACAAAAAAACAATGGATGTAAGCTCGATCAAGTCCAGTTGTGGCTGGTTCTGTGGTTTGAACTCAGACACATTCATCTTCTTACTAAAAATACTTTGGAAGAAGGGTTTTCTCTTTTCTCATATCAGCTCAGGCCCTCAGGGATGAAACGCAATTTTTGGCCAAGTGAAACAATGTTGGCTGTTCCCAAAATAGGTGAGGCACCTCAGGATAAGGAATCACCTACCGCCAACTCAGCACTGCCAGTTTTCATAGGAAAAAACAAATCTGAGCTAGAGGACTACGTTAGGTCTTACCTTCTTGAGCTTCCCACTCTTGGTGCCCACGAAGGCCAGGGAGTGGTTCTTGTAGACATAGGCAATCACAGATGTCATTCTGTCTCCATCTTCAGTGAAAATGGGGAGCCCCCGCACCATGGACGATACTCCCAGGGGGGCATTCATATCCAGGCCACAGAAATTGTCATCAATTGTCAACAGCTGCAAACAAAAAGAGGGAGAATGAAAATGAGAAGCCCTTGATTCTTTGGACGTTGGGGAGGTGTGCATAACATACCTATAATCTGAGTGGATTGACAAGTCAAAGAGCAAAGCAGGAGTGGAGAAATGGAAATAGAGAAATGGAAAAAACTCATCCAAAGTTGCATGGTGAGCTCGAGGCAGAAGGAGAAATGGAAACTCGCTTCTCTTGAATGACAGCCCAGCAGGATACATTACTTTAAGCCTTTTTCCTACTGCTTTACCAGTCAAGAGCTAGCAATCAAAGACACAATCTGCTAAAAATGTCTTAAAATTTTCTACTTCTGTCAAAAAAAAAAAAAGCCAGGTACATCCTAGCCAAGGGATCCCAGATGAGAAGCACTGAGCTATATCTACCAGCAAATAAGATGGGCCATGGCCTGTCCTCTGGCCCCAAGACCCATTAGTACGGCTCATACCTGCGCACATGAACTATTGCTCCCATCCCACCACCAAACACTGTAGTGTCATCCATTCTACACCTGATAAATTATTGTCCCCCAAGGCACGCCTAGGCACTGTCCAGGAGAAGGCTGGTCAGCACAGTCCAGATCTGCAGTAGGGACCTCGCTAAGGATTAAAAAGAACAGACAGCACCTGCACACACTCCCTGGCCATAGGTTTAGTTTGTTCATATGGTCCTGGATCTTTCACTTGTGCTGAGTGTTTGATCTGGGCATATTAACCTCCTTGGTCTCCATATATTCCCCTACGAATGGTCTCAATTTCACATTTAACCATCTCACTAGGGAACTCTGAAGAGAAGGGAGGGAAGGTAGATTTCTCCACTACTGTGAGAGTGTTGCAGTGTTTGCTGGAAACACCTGTGATGTCCTAACTGCTAGGGAAAAGGTCCTTTCCATTAATGCTACTGCATGAACTCCAACATCTACCGCGCTTGAACTTAACAGGCTTATCACCAGAGAGATGCTCTGCTAGGATCCTTTTCCGCGAATGCACATAGCATCCAGCTATCTGTGAGGGTGTATCCTGGGACTTCAGGGAGCTGCAGGAGTGCAGCAGTAAGCTGTATAGACAGTGACGCCTCTTCGATCCTACCTCAAAGGCAGGATCTGGACAGGAGGTCAGGATAATATGCTTTGCCACTGTGAGGATCTCTGTGGAATAAGCTAGATAAAGATGATGCTCTGAATACCACAGCACAGATTGCCGAGTCAGTTAGACTTGTATTGATTTCAGTGGGACCACTCACAGATTTGAAGTTAAGCACCTGCTTAAAATACTTTGCTGGATTGAGGCCTAGAAGAGTAATTAAGTGTACAGTAAAGTTGTCAAATTTTCTTACGTTAGAAATAAATAGCCGTGACCATTTTCTTTGTCTGAGTTCCTGTCTTCCAGGAAACACGGCTAGAATAGAGCCGCCCCTTGATTGAGTCCACTAGCAATAAAAGCCTGGTAGTTGATTCACTTTGTCCTCACCTGGCAATTACAGGCAATAATTACAGATGGTTTTACTGAATGGAAGAACAGTGTGCCCTAAAACTATTTATAAATATATAAAACCTATGAGGAATTCAAACAGCCATTAGTAAGGAACAGCTAGGCCTGAGCTCTGGCCTGTAAGAATCATTAGTGTTTGTGGACTGCCCTTTCAGAGCTAAAGCATCAGCTCAAAGAGCAATTACAGGCCAAATCAACAGCCTCTGTGAGCTGCAGATGGATGTTGCTAGTTTACATGCCAGCACAAAGTCTAGGGTAAATATATATTCCAGATCCAAAGGCTAAATTCATCTCAGGTCTAGCACCACCGTGCTGATCACCACTGTGCTGATCACCACACTTCAGAGAGGCAGGACATTCCTGGTGACAGTGTAACTTGTAAAAAGATGAGTGTTTCTGTGGATAATGAGAACATGCACAGCTTCATTACATAGGTCAGGAAGAAAAGCTGCACTTTGGTTATTCAGTAAGTACCGATGATGTCTGAAGCAGTGACACTACCCAGGTCTTTCTGCAAGACATGTGACACTGACTGTCAGGTGAGCTAACAGGAGAGGGGGTATGGTGGTCTGAAGCAACCCCACAAGCTTTCTGTTCCCTAATTTACTACCTGACTTATCACTTATCACTCTCATCCAGCTCCAGCCACATGAAATTTTACAACGTAGCCTCTGGTGGTCATCTTAGCCATCTCCATAGTCAACGGAGTAAAAAAAACATACATCAGAGAGCCACCCATCCAGCCCACCTGATAATGCACTGGATCACCTTCTGGCAGAGCCAGTTGATTACAGAAGGACTCCAGATGATTTGCTTAGCCTAAACATCTAACATTAAGATGTATCACTCTTTGAGCAGGAAATTGGACTAGATGATGTCCTGAGGTCCCTTCCAACTGAATTATCTCATGATTCTATGGATACGGCATTTGAGATGAATCCAGGTCTTGAAGCCAGGCCCAGTATGATCTCTTAAGAAACTCTTAAGCTCTCGGGTCAAGATGATCAGTGTTTCAAAGCTAAAACTGAGCATACTTGAACTGATCGTCTGACAGGCAGAGAGAAGAATCATTTCACATTGAAAGGAAAATATTCCCAAACCTTCTACAAGTGGCAGAAAGGGAGGTAAAGGAAAGTCCTTCTTTGTCATGATTTTGAAGGAAAAGAAGAAATGAGGAAAAACTTTCTTTACCTCCAAAAGGGTGAAAAACTCCACAGGATCAGAAGACATCTCACCTAGGGCACAGTGTATCAAGCTCCATCTCACGTAACACCAACAAGCAATTGAACAACAGTGATCAAGCAGAGCTGGTGCAGTTCAAGGTATCTTCCTTGGTGTAGCACAGCCTCCTACACCCTACCCTCCTTGCAGCACAGCCAAACCCAGCTATTCTGGCAGATGCACTTGGAGGCCAGAAGAGACTCATGCAGTCACCTGGTCTGCCTTCCTACATGACCCAGGCCCTTGGATATCACCCAGGGGTTGCCTGCGTTGTTGTGCAGGCAGATGCAAGCTGTTCCTGCTTGCTCCCCAGGCACCAGGAAGGTCTCAATCTGTACAGCTGTAGGAATACAGCACTGAGCCCTCTGTAATACACTCTGCAAAGAGCCAGGCTACAATAGCTAGAGCATATGAGCGCTGGGGCTGTATATCAAAGCTCATAGAGGCAGGGTGAGCTCTCATGTGCTTGCAAAGCACTAAGGGGATATAGACCAGTGATCACAGCATCAAACACAATAGTCTGTGGCTGAGCTACAGCACGTCTCCAACCTGTTCAGACTTAATTAATCCAATTGCCACAGTTTATTTCCTCCGCCATGAGCCTGGGCCTGGCTCCAGCTGAACTCAGACCTACCCTCAACGGGGCCAAAATTCTGTATTCTTTCTCTCTACAGACAGAAAACTTTCAACCTGTTCATCCGACTTCCCTGAGATTACATATAAAAGGGCACATCCCTGTCCTAGGGCAAGGGTTGGAGAGGGAAATCAGTGTTTTCCCTGACATGACACAATTCAGACGAGATCTAGGACCCTCACACCGCACCCAAATCTCTGACGCATGCAAACTGATGTGCGAGGACAGATCAGGCCTCTCTAATTAGTCACTTGCTCTTCCACGGGTGCCAGAGAAGCAATTGCAGAGTTATAATCTTCAACATGAACAGCTGTCCCCGAAGAATAGGAGCAAGGCCAGCAAGTCACACACCACACAAAAATATTTTCATTTAATACATTTGGGTTATTTCCTTTGAGGGTCATCTGCAAAAAATGCCAACAAGAAAACCCTTACAAATAAACATCACCCAGCTCCTCTGCAGCTGTGGTTCTCAGCTGCATGAGCAATGTCTTTGTTAAGAGAGAAATACAGCCATCTTCTTCAGCAAAGAGAAACACGTAAGGAAGTTTGGATTTATGATGAAAAGGTCAGGAGTTGCAAGCGCAGGTTTATTTTCAATTCCAGACACTCCTAACAGCAATATAAAGTAGCCACGTTAAACTCTCCGGAGCGTCTCTGCTTGGCAATTTCACATTAACGACTTTCCAGAGCGAAAACATGGGCAAGGACTTGAATTTGCTCAGCTTGCAACACTGCTGCTGCACCAGCTGGGATATCAGGAAGGGGCAAAGGAAAGATCTAGAGATGGAGGAATAGGATCGGGAATTTTTTGCATCTTGAGCAATTAAAATCCAAGCCAGAACGTCACAGCACAGTCTGAAGGTGATTCAGAAGGGAAGGGAGCCTTGCGGTTGAGAAACTGGACTAGAAACAAATGCATTAGCATCCCACATCAGGTTTCCACCTGATGAATCAATCACTCTCCCCCTGCCCCAGGGAAGCTACTAAACACAGGTTTGTAAGGTGCTCTCCATATCCGAAATATCTTCATGTAAGAAGAATTGGCAGCTCCCAAGGCATAAATGTCCTCCCAAGTCCCAACAGCTGCCTCTCCATCTTGGGCCTATGCGCAGGGGGAAGCCAGCTGGTGAAAGGCTGCAGTCTGTTCTTGCCACCAGGCTCTGCATCAGCACCCCGAGGGTCCATCTGCAGTGGTGGTGACACCGCGGCCAAGTGTCACATTCACCAGTGAAATAGGAAGGATGTACAAAGAATGGGCCTGATTTATGGAAGGATTCTGGCAAGCACCTGCATTCCCCAGGATTAAGCCTATCAAATAAATACTTAACCCATCAGAGCCCTCCCAGAGAGGACAGCTTTACAAGGCTGCTGCTAGGCCAGGTCTCTAAGGTTCCACTGAGCCCCAAAATCCACAAACTCAGCAGAAGGATCAGAGCTCTGATTACAGCACCTCCTTCCCCATCCTCATCTGATTCCGTGGCAGACAAGAGCACTTTGGCATCACGCAAAGGGCTGAAGTGCCAGGTATCAGGGGCCCATGCAGACAGTGCTCGTAATAAACTGCAATTGTCCCTTAAACATCTGCTTTAGCAATTTGTCTCTGAAACAGCCCCTGATAACCAAATACAGGCTAATTCATATT